CTACGTAGGCGTAAATCTTCTATACGTAGCCACTTAACTCTAGAGTAAATACCACTACGCCAAGGGCTAGGACTCCCCCTACTTAGCTAGTAAATCCACTAAATATCCTTAGCAAACGGTCGACGTACAGTAGGCAAAGACGTCAGGCGAAGTTAGCGTCTACCATCGCATAGGTATCACATCCAGAGTCGACAAGTGCTTAGGTAACGAATCCTTTATTTACCCTAACGTTTATAACTACTAATAGGCTACTTTAGTACTTCTTAGCCTCTTGCTACCCTTCTATCTCTTCCCTAGTTGCCTCTAGTACCCGCTTTCGCACCAAAGCTATTCTTTTCCTAACGCATCGTCGGTATAGTACTCAGTAGACAAGTTTTCGCTAGAGCTTCGCTCGACCGTCGCTCCATCCTTTCTAACTTTAGCAATAGATACCTTAGTCTTCTTAGCCTTCTTTCTACTCTTCAGGTAGTTCCTCCTAATATATCCCTTCTTATTATACCCGTAACATCGGCAGGTATCCTCGTCACTCGAACTACTACTAGTTTCAGTCGTCGGCTTAGTAGTCGCTCTAACTTTAACAGCTCCAGTCATCTTGATATCACCATCAGCGTCTCGGCAGGAAGTCGGCGCCTGTAACGGGCTGGCCCCTTGTGGGGCGTATGCAGGCAACTAACTACATCGGCCGTCAGCGCGTCGCGCGCAACCATTGGGCTATGCCGCAAAAGGTTCGAGAATGTCAGATCGGCAATCTGACCTCTAGTTGCAACTCATAGAGGGTTGTGCACCCGCGCACCGCCCAGCCCACTGGCCGAGATGTAAACGAGGCCTATTACAGGCCTAGCCTGTTACAGCGCCTTCTCGTAACGTAATCAGGGGCCGGTCTAGGTTCGTTCAAGCTTCCAGGCTACTTCCTATACACAAGATAACCACTCAGGGTAGGTATCCGGTAGTAATACAGTAATAAGGTAGTCCCGAAGTCAAGGCAAAAGGGACTATTCAAGTAGGTTAATCTATACAGTATCAGGCCAGGCGGCACCGCCTACATCGGCAAGGGTTCGCTCGAACTTCAGAAGGAAGGTCATCAGAGACTCGTTATCTTTCTATCGCATTATATAGATTGCAGAAGCAGCCCGGGGCTAAATATTAGGGTCCTTATAAGTTCGGTCGAGGTACGCCATAAAGTCGCTAGGGTCTCGCCGACCTCCCGCCCCCCCTAGGGCGTAGAACGTAGCCACAACTTGTTATAGGTTAACGTCCAGGCACGAATTAATAAGATACCAGACTTCCGCATCACTTTAGTAGAACGCACGATCGTATTCGATCTTATCCCTCATCTACTATACCCAAGCAAGGTACTCACGCCTCTTACCCAAGAACTTCGGTAGGTTTGTAAGTAGCTTCCGCCTCGGCAGCTCCCCGCCCACTGTTCGGTAGGCAGTCGCCGTAGCCTCCGGGGCATTTCCTTACGGAGATAACGGCCCCGTTCCGGATCTCCCGGCGAAGCTACTAGGCAGCGTTTCGCCACCGCTTCGCCGCTCGAGCTCTACTATAAGCTCAGCGATCCGCGCGTAAAGTAGTACCATAGCTTCCTATATCAGCGTCTCTAGAGACGCCCGCTAGCCACCACTACCACTTTAGTCCTCCATCGCTAATTCGCCAGCGAAGACTAACCAGGTCATAAGACGGAGCTTTAGATATATAAAGGGCTAGGCCTAGAGTTTAGTTCAACAGATAGGTAGCTCAATTAAGTTTATCTAAAGCTAAGGAGAAGAAGGAAAAGGAAGAGAACTATCAAGTAGGGCGCCACGTAGATAGTTAAGCTATCAGGCGGTCACGCCGGGCAGAATACCGGGGTGGTCGCCGGGGGGTCGCCGGACGTTCGGCCAAGGCAAAGCCTGGCCACGTTCAGGGCTCAGCCTGTTACACGTCCCAGCACGAGATGCGATATGCTATAGGGCCTGCTCCTTCTAAGAACCCCCCCGCAACCAAACTATAAATAAACTCACAAGAGTGCGGTTGTTCCATAAATATTAAGCTCCCAAATTGTGTTATCCGAATTAACTCCAAAAGTAGCTTGTTCTAAAACGAGCGTGGCAGAACGAGCGTGGCAGAACGGGTGTGCTAGAACGGGTGTGCTAGAACAGGTGTGCCAAAACGAGCGTGGCAGAACAGGTGTGCTAGAACGGGTGTGCTAAAACGGGTGTGCTAAAACGAGCGTGGCAGAACGGGTGTGCTAAAACGGGTGTGCTAAAACGAGCGTGGCAGAACGGGTGTGCTAAAACGGGTGTGCTAAAACGGGTGTGCTAAAACGAGCGTGGCAGAACGGGTGTGCTAAAACGAGCGTGCCAGAACGGGTGTGCTAGAACGGGTGTGCTAAAACGAGCGTGGCAGAACGGGTGTGCTAAAACGGGTGTGCTAAAACGGGTGTGCTAAACGGGTGTGCTAAAACGGGTGTGCTAAAACGGATGTCCTAAAACGGATGTCCTAAAACGGGTATCTCAGGATAATCAGCTTCTGGAGCTCTCGGTGCCGAAACGTCGTCAAATGAGCAGAAAACAAGGCGAAAACAGAACGCAGCCCAATTTGGCTTTTGGGTTGCAGGGTGGCCTATATTGGCTGTAATCAACTGGTGGGCCTCGCTTCGACAGCAGAACCATGCAATAATATCCCGGCTTGGGCCGGTGCCTTCCCAAGGAGCTGTCCCCGGCAGGCACATGCAGAAAAACCTCCGATTTTGCATCTAGGCCCAGACCGGCTCTCTCCCAGGCGATAGTTGTTCTATCTCGCTGCTGCGCTGGACTACTGGGTTATTCAAGTCGAGCCCTGTTTCTTCACGCAAACAAGAGACAGCTTTTCCATAATTTAGATTGAACACCATGTTTTGAAAACTACATCGTTAAATGTAAAAATCACATTGTCGGGCTTTTGAAACCCCAGATGGAAAAGTCCGCTTAGGAGATTTTTCGGCGGCGACTGATTGCAGAAGCGCCTTCACTATGGGGAATCAAGTTTGCTATTACATAACTATCGCTTTACGAGCTACCATTCTTCATACTGTGTGTTGTATCTTCATGAGTTCTTGCCCCTACCTCCATTAGGTCGCCGCATGGATCTTCCTCAATATAGTGTGTCTGTACCTGGACCTTACGACTGTCTACTTTTGGCATTCTATCTTCAGGGCCATGTTGGGCGTCATCTTTTTCAGCGGCGACCCCACTGAGTCTACGCGTCGTAGATGAGGGGCGGTTGGTCGGGACACGGTTTCGTCTACTTGCAAAGTCTGGAGGAGTTCTCATCACAGGGACAGGGTACGTTCTTTCCTTCGAGCTGTCAGCCTTGAGCGGTTGCTCCACAACTGTACTTACCATCTCCGCCTTGGTCTTCGGCCACGATGGCTCATTCGAGGAAGTATACTCATAGTATTTATGCATACGACGGACTTGAATGTATACGTCTGCGCCGTATCGTTGCCTGATTTGGTCACATCGCGATAATAAATTCTTCGCTGCTTTGGCAAAATTTTCGTTAGTCCTGTCTCTCTTTTTGGGGTGGCGTTCATCCAGAGGAGCCATTGTTGCCTGTCGAAGCCTGTGCTGCGATGGATTAAGGGAATGGGTATTGCCGGGAGGTCTGTACTTATACCTTGTTTACACCCAATATGGACAATGGGACAACAAACTTGGCATTTTGGATGCGTTGGGTGCCAAAATGGCTATGCACAGCCGATCTTTGCATTTCGCCGGATTACGGCCAGGGCAGTCGTCATTTTTGACCACCTTGGACGCACCCAGAGACCGAACAGAGGGAGAGCCAAAATGGCCATGATCTATTTTAAGTTTCTTCTCGAAGCTTCTGTGGGCGTTGGTGTCGAGGACGTGTCGACCCACATATTCTGCCTGAAAGATGCCAAGTGACGCACTCCTCAAGCTTTGGTCACTACCCCCAGTGGATTCGTCCAGTGCTACTAGTCTGGGATTGCTGCCGATAGGGTACGCCATGGTGTCACTTTCTTCCTTTGCTGATCCGGAATCATGGGCTCAGGGGTCAGCGAACAGAGATTCATCCCATTCTTTACACTCTTCTCTCTTTTCGCACGGACGTCTGACATCTTGGCATCAGCACAGTTCGATCTAGCACTGCGGTACCGACCCATAGAAACGTCTCACCGACAAGGGGGGCTCCATTACATGATTTGGAGCAAACATTGGCTTTTGCGTCATCAACGCCAGGGGTCTTGAGTGGGTTGAAGGGCCCGTTCTGGATTACTCAATCTCTGTTGAGGGGATGGAGAGCATGGTTATGTATGCGGTCTGTTCTAAGCTGACGTATATCGTGTTTGCGATGTATATGTGGAGGTCAGGGTGATACTATGGGTTACCTAAAGCCAGGGTAAAAATGAACGAAAGACTAAGATTGACACAAGAGGTCCTATGGTTTAGCCAGGCACTCACTCAGGTGACAAAAGACACCGCCGGTCGTCAAATTGGCTATCTATAGCTTCATCAAATTGAGCATGATAGGAGCGTGAAGGTACCAGAAAAAGTCGCTTTTCTGATAAAAAAACCCCAGAAATATTTTACAGGGGGGTTTTTTTTTTTTTTTTTTTTTTTTTTTTGAAAAGAAATTTCTTTCTTCTTTCCCTGATCTTGTGATGGTGGCGTTCTAGTGAGCCCCTCAGAAAACCGGCGGTGTTTTCTATAGCGACGCGGAGGGTTGCGCCAGCAGACCTTCGTACGCATTGCTCGTCATGAGACTAGCTACGTACGCAGAAATTTGCTTAAGAATGGCTGCGTACGTAGAGTCTGCTTAAGCAACTTCGCCAAGGCTTAGGTCTGGAGCAAAGGACAGCCGTAATTTGCTCCCCAAATCTCTAAAAAATTGCGATGGCTGCCTAATCTAGACGAATTATGCCACTTAGCTGGGATTGCTGGCGATAGGGCATGCATGGCATCGCTTCCTCCTTTCTGGTCCTGGCATCACCAAAGAGGGTAGCTAGAACACGGACATGAATAAACACATCGTAGCATTTGATATGTACAAGCTCCAGCCTGCCGTTTGGCTCAACAAGAGCTTGCAGTAAAGGGCTTTATGTACCACTGGGCAGTGCGCTAGCTATTATCTGTGCTAGCCATCCCATGCTAGCCATTTCCTGTGCTAGCCATTTCGTGCTAGCCACTCTCTGTGCTAGCTATCCCATGCTAGCCATTCTCTGTGCTAGCCACCCCATGCTAGCCATTCCCTGTGCTAGCCATTTCGTGCTAGCTACTCTCTGTGCTAGCCATCCCATGCTAGCCATTTCCTGTGCTAGCTACTCAGCGATGACCCATTTACGCTGAGTCCCATGTAAACTCAACGTGAAGCACATCAATTCCTCCAACTTGCAACTTGAATCCTATGTCTTCTTCACCTTTTATCGGCGCTACCTTTAAATCGTCTATACACGATAATTCCTCAACAGCGAAACTTTGAAAAGCAGTAGGCGCCTCAGCTGCTGATGTGAGAGATATTGTACCCATAAATTCTCGATCAAAGTCGAAAACTACCGTTAACTGACTGCAAAGGAAGTGAATACTTCGGACATCCGTGAGAATTCTATAGGAAATCGGAAGATCATCAGGGGATATCTTCAAAGAAATCTCTGATTCCGTTGTCAACAAGTCGTGGCTAACCGATGGCAGACCCACCCGAGTCTCTGTTCTCCCTGTTCCTAGATTCGACATGCCGATAGGGATAACGACTGAGCTAGGGACTGAAGAGAGTGGCAGACATGCCCTTGATTCTAACGGAGCTGATAAGGCATTTCCCTTGTTTATTGTAAACCTTCTTATCATACTCTGAAGCTCTTGAGTCATGCCACTAATAATCTGTCGCCAGGCTTTGACCTGCTTCTCGGTCATCCAATCCACGGCTGGCACGGTCCATTTTGGGTATATTCGTTGGTGAGAGAGGGATACGTGGAATCGTCCATGTCGTTGAATAAGTAAGTCACAAAGAAAACAAGCAGATTTACTGCAACCGATGAACCGAGGGGCTAGTGCACATGGAGCACGCTCGTAATGAAATATGAGCTGTACCTCCGCGTGGACAAAGCAAAGGCCTGTCGCCCCTTTTGGCAGAATGGGTGGCGGGGAAAGGACGGGCTCGAGAGTGATATGTTGGAACATGTTGCGATAGCCCCTTTTCATCACCAATTTAGCTAGGTCCTTGCACAAGTTGAAATATCTAGCAATTTTGTCGATCTGGGCAATGACCTTTCGTCCTGCTTCGGAGAACATGTTTAGCACAAGCTTGAGCTGCAACTCGAGAGATTTTCCGTCTGTGCTGGTGGATGCGTCGGCGCATAGTTGGACTACAGCTTTGACGCGTTTGCTCAAGTCGGGACCGACTTGCTTTGATTCCAACGGCTCCAAAGCCTCCATGATACGATTCAACTTCAGACGGATCGTGTCAGGTATGCTTCCTTGTAGTATAGGAAGTAGCGATGTCTTCATGCGGTGGCGCAGCGATGTCCTGTTCTTTCTCTGCTTCGCAGTCCAATGGAATGGTGCAGGGTACCAGGGTGGCATCAGCCTTTGTAGTATTCGACCTTCACTAATTGCAAGTACTTTAGTAAAGAGTTGATTTTGTAGGACATTTTTGTCTGAGACTTTTTAAGTCAGCCACTGCCGAGATTTGAATAACAATGGCCCAAGTTACCTTTACTTGCGCAGTCCTCTAGAACCTGAAGCAGTCCCCGTATATTTTCGACTTCTCGTGTATACCGCAGCTCGTTACGAGTGAGCCGCACGAGAAGCCCTTGCTGGTTTGGCTGCTCTTCAATGCAAACTGCCGCAATCTCCGAAAACCCTTCACAACCATGAGCAACGAAAGCAACATGGTCGGCCAGTTGCATTTCGTCTTCGAATCGCAGAATATAGCCAGAGGCTTTGGAGTCCCCCTGGTATTGCTGTCGATAATTGACTTCCTGGCGAGGCGTTTGCCTCAACTTGGATAGCTGTAAAACGGCCCGGTGAAATTGAACTTCATCGTCGACAGTCCACAATACAGGCATTTGGAGTGTTTGTTCTAAGTCATAGAATCAGGGGTACAGACGAATTTACAGAAAATCCGTCTCCATTTGGGCGGGGAAGCTTTGTAGTTAGCTACAATGAACTTGATGCCAACAGCGACAGGGGGCTGAGGTCAGGTTGCAATCATTATGCAGATTGATGCAGGCCTAATGCAGGAGGCCAGCTAACCAATGCGTGAATCGGCGAGGGGTAAAACAAATCAAAGCCGAAAAGGAACTTCCTGCTGTAATGGCCGACCGAAACCAAACGAGTGGCTGCATTTTGTCCACGTCGCAGTCCGTTGCCAACCCGTGGAGCCAGTCAATTGGCTAGGATAACGTAGGCACCGGCGCACGCGATGCGGCTGATCGCCTACGAGATGTTGGGTAATCCACCGGCGGTGTTGCATTAATTAACCCCAACGTCCGAACTTGATCAACGTCTGACCACTAAAAGAGGGATTCATTTCACATCACCATCATGAGTGCTACAACCCAATCCAGGCCCCGTATCGTGGCCATCTCGTTAAAATATGAGTCCTCTCTTGACGAGACATACGCAAGCTTGTTCACTCAACTCCTTGAGAACGCAAGTGTCCAACGGGCCAAAAAGCCGGCCAGCGCCCTTGACCTCTTACAACAGCACCCGCCCCCCGCCGCCGTGCTCATTACGGACCAAGGCCTCACCGAAGGGCATCCCAACGTATGGGATGCCGTCATCACTTATGTTCGCCAGGGCGGAACCGCCATCGCTATGGGTCATTTCAGCAGCTTTGTCAAGCCCGACAATATCCGGCCCTTCTTCACAAAAGCCGGCTTAGACTGGGACAGTGGTGTCTACCACCGAACCACCGTCACGCTCAACCCACAGGTAGCAGGCAGCGCTGCGGCAAGACTTCCGGCTCGGTACAGCCAGAAGGCCCTGTTTCTAAAGGGAGTGCATCCGACTGCGGTCATGTACGGACCTGACCAGACCTCCGTCACCGAATCGCATGTCTTCCCTTCTGAGAGAGTTAGAGATTTGACGCAGGCTGCAATCTCTTTTGCGCAAGTTGGCAATGGCAAGATTGGATATGTCGGAGATGTGAACGTTGAAGAGGGAACGGACGCTGCTATTTTGGCCATGTGTGGTTTACTGGTCTAACTCAGCTGTATATCCTCTTGCACCGGTGGACAGTGTCACTGTGTGCGGCTGCCGCTCAGGCTCTGGCCGTGATAGTATCCTCATCAGCCATGCATTCGCAGCCGAAGCCTCTGCGACGTCCTTGTGGCTTTGGCTGCACCGCTTCGGATTTGTGCCCTGCTCGCAATGGTGCGGGGCGCAGAATATTGGGATCCCTGGTTTCATTGTCCTCGACATGCCTCACTTTCGAAGGGTCCACACACACAACTAATTAACTAGTGACCCCTTGTGCATCCCTCAAGGCATCCCTCAAGGCATCCCAAAGGCCATACCTGAAAGGGATCCCTGTACACCCCCGTATGCACCCCTCAAAGACATCCCCCAAAGGACATCCCCCAAAGGACATCCCTGAAAGGGATCCCTGTACACCCCCGTATGCACCCCTCAAAGACATCCCCCAAAGGGCATCCCCCAAAGGGCATCCCCCAAAGGGCATCCCCCCAAAGGGCATCCCCCAAAGGGCATCCCCCAAAGGACATCTTCTAAAGAGCATCCCCCAAATCAAGTTTAGGCTGGCAATATGCGACCTCATTAAAGGTGCCTCTTCAGTGGTAAATGGTTATAAATAATGTTTGTCTATTTAAGCGAGTGGTAGTGACTCATTCACGGCTGCCCCTTGTAGACCAATCACCCCTGCATTTGCGCCGACAAAACTGCTTGGCGTAGGGTTCCTAGGGTCCTCCTCACCTGCGCATGCCTTCAGTTTTTCGGCCCAGGGCGCAGATCTCACGGGGTCTAGGTGCGCCTTTGTTGTACGGCTTCTGCGACGGACAAAATTGGCTGGCGTCTTTCTCAGAGGCACAGGATAGATCCTTTCCTTTAAGGGGTTAGCGATAAAATTAACCAAGGCAGCCACCTACCATATCAGCTCTCGACATCGGCCACGACGGGTCCTCAGTAGAGCTATATTCATAATGTTTATGTTTCCTTCGTAATGTAATATAGACGTCCGTTTGGTAGCGATGGCTTATTTCATTGCATCGTCGCATAATGTTCTCTCTGACTTTTTCAAAGTTCTCGTTGGTTCTATCACGCTTCTTGAGCGGAAGTAAGTCAAGTTTGGGGGCATCCATGTTAGTGTTGAGACTGGAGACACAGAGGGTTGATACTACACTGTGTCGTCTACACTGGATATTTATACACCATCTAAACCATAGACTAGGAATCATCCGAAATTGAATTAGCTTTGGTGCACCGCACCCCGAAGCGCCCGCCTAGACCCCACTACTATGCCGAGCAACCCGCACCGAACTTCGGTGGGCGCTTCGGGGGGGCCACAGACGGGACGCTTCGGCGACTGGTGCCATTAAGCCACTCGGATGCGGAACCCTTTGACAGTAACATGGCCGGGGTGAGCGCTTCGGGGCGCCCACAGGTGGACCCGCAGACGCTTCGGTGCGGGTTACTGGCAGGGCGCCCGGATGAGGAACCCTTTAATAGTAGCATGGCCGGGGTGGGCGCTTCGGGGGCCACAGACGGGACGCTTCGGCGTGGGTTACTGGCAGTGCGTCCGGATGTGGAACCCTCTAATAGTAGCATGGCCGGGGTGGGCGCTTCGGGGGCCGATAGACGGGACGCTTCGGCCTGAGTTACTGGCAGTGCGTCCGGATGTGGAACCCTCTAATAGTAATATGACCGGGGTGGGCGCTTCGGGGGCCGATAGACGGGATGCTTCGGCCTGAGTTACTGGCAGTGCGTCCGGATGTGGAACCCTCTAATAGTAATATGACCGGGGTGGGCGCTTCGGGGGGCTGACAGACGGGACGCTTCGGCGTGGCTACTAGTCGGGTCCGCTCCCGATCAGCCTGCCCGAGCCGTCGCCAAGATAACTCCACAATCGGTGCCTGTTGTGCTGCCGTCAAAGGATCCCAACGCATTTCCAGCATTCCATAGCTGCAATGTATGCAATGAAAGCCGTCAAGGGAATGGCAGGCTTGGGTCACTGTATCCTTGAACGTCCTGGCACGTAGCTCGATAGATTCGAGCTGGGTCGCAATTAGCTAGGTCTTGAAAGTGCTTCAACGCATTAGCGACCATAAGTTAACAATACGTTATCTACAAGATCCAGGATAGAGGTGTTGAGGGCAATAACTTCTGTGTGTCTATCTCAACGTTCACGGTACATACTCTGTAGATCTAATCTAGGCCCGGCCCTCAGTTAGACCTCTATCTCTATAGCTATCTGTTTATGCTTCGCCTTTTGATCGTCTTTGCACCACTTGATCTCACATCCTGAGCGCAACCCCTTGGGAGGTCTGTACATGCCGTCTGAACGCATCCAGTGATCTGGTCGGTGCTGCCTGGTGCAGGGCCGGATTCCTTGACCGGCGATCTCAATGCTGTTTGTCAAATCCCCGGCCGGTGATGGGAACGCGAGGCCGATACCACAGTAGAGACAGCCTCAACCAATAAGTCGCTCCACTTGGCGCTCAAGAAATCCTCAGAGGGCGCGGCGTCGGTCGAGGTCTCACACTTGATACTGCCAGTGGAAGTGATATGATCTTCATTCTTGGCTACGAGTTGTCTTCAGGGCGGCGGTATAGGATTTCACCTTGGCTTACGCTCGTAGTTGCAGGTCACGGAGTCGTCCTAAGCTTTCCTTACCTGAATAGACTTTCTATATTTACAACGAGTTGAGCACGCTCAAGAAACAGTGCCGTGGGTCGTAAAGGCATGGTTTTGAAGGTGCATCTTGTGTTCAAGCGGCATCTTACACACCTTACACTCTGTCTTGTCATGGTCTTTCATCTTGGACAAGTGCTTACGTTTAAAGTGTCTAGTTAGGTCGTTGGATGAGTAGAACTCCTGGATGAGATCATCCACCCGAGGATCATTCGGGGGGAGGCTATGGGCCTGGCCAATGCATACAAAGCATCTTTTTGGCCTCTCTGTCGTATTTCTGGCGTAGATAGATAGCGTGGCAAGATAAAGGGGGCTGCCTTCTGAGCCATGGGAAGGCGGCGTAGAGGGCGAGTTCTTCGACAGAGGCCGAGGACGGCGCATGGTGCATCCTTCCTGGACAAGACAGTACACGGATACTGCGTCGATGGCGTTGTCTCTCCGTTGGTACTGGTCTTCGAGTGTGGCGATGAGCGGAGCAGTGAGCGCTATGACCAAGAGCTTTTGTGCCGGTCCCTGTGGACGACAGGTGTTCGCTACTGCAGGCTTGGTGAAACCATCGCCTCGTAATTGGCGCTCGATGTCGTCAACGGCCTGGTTGTCAGTCCATCCGTGTATGATACTCTGCTTGAGCTCTCTCCTTAGTCTCTGCTTTTCGTTATTTATCTCTCGTTTAGCATCCCTGTATGCTTTGGAGCCTCGAGGTAGTCGTCGAAGGGCCATCGTCAATCTTCGGATGGTAGGATGAGTGGCGATGGATGCAGACTGCTCTTGCGTGAGGTCAGTTGGGCGACGTTTGCTGATGGAGTGACCAATGCTGCCAGACTGCTTGATCAGCGCCTGTTGCGGCTTTTGGCCGCGCAGGATGCCCCAAAGGTCGGCGCCAATTTCACGTCCAAGATAGTGATGTCGAAACGGTTCGGAGCTGGCGTGACCCAAGACAAGGTTTCGGAGTGCCTCGCTGACATCGGCTATGGCTGGGGGTTAGCATAATTCACTGAGGGGGAGGGGGGCAGAACACAAACCGCTTTGATCAAACTCGTTCGCTGCGTTGTAGCGCAGGCTGTACAGTATGGTGGGGTATTCCAACCCAAGAAGCTCCCCGATTCTCTTGAACCAGGCACCCATCATAGCCTCGGAAATGGGTTCGTTAGTGGATAGTACATAGCCTGTGGTCGTTAAAATAGCGCGACGGAAAATGTAGGTGTCGTCTAAGTCCTCCCGCAGCGGCAAAGGCAACTCGAGCTCGCCGGGGCAAATGTCAAGCTTTTTCAGCTGATCCGGCGAGGTGAGGCTGGGTGCACGAAAGGCCCGGTGGCGAAAGAGGATGCCTAGAAGAAAGACGTGTGGGCTGAGCAGTAAGGAGGGATCAAACATAGTTTCGGGGATCGGGTAGGTGTTCCTAGAGACGCGTTAGGTCTTGTCATTTTCAGGACACCAGCGCCGGGTCCATACTGAGCTTTAGCTCCAAGGTATTCCTTTGTGAACTTTGGAGTGAATCGAATGAGAAGCTTATGCGGTCCGCCATCTGGATCTCTCGCCAGAACAACGCGTATGTCCCCGAAACGAAGCCTCGTAATAGCTTTCCGGCGAGCGCCGGCCGGAGCAACCAACAGGACAAAGAGCACAGCAAGGAGGCGCACTTCTCCCACCCCGAACATCTTCCGTGTTGTGCTTAGCGTTTCTTCAATGTGCTGCTTCAGTTGGTCGATTGTCATGATACGGTTGGCCCGCGCCTGGTCGTTCAGGCCGTGCTTCTTGGCCAGCTGTCCGATAACCTGATCCCGTCAGCAAAAGCGGATATGTCGCTCAAAACGCCTACGTACCGTGCGCATGCTGCGACCCAGCTTGGAAGCTATCCTCTCACCCATAGCCCTCTCAAACACAAGTCTAAAGATCTTCCAGTATGTTGCCAAAGAGCTTTTCTTCTTGATACCGCTCCTCTTCCTCCCGTCTTTGCCGACTTTCTGGCTGAGGTACCAGTCGAAGAAGTTTTTGAGGAGTGTGATCGAGAGCGTCTCGTAGCAACGCCGAGGGTGACGGTCAAGGACTTCGCAATATCTATAGTTCGGGGCGTTAGCTAGCGGCAAGGTCAAGGCAAGCCCACGTCATCCTTACAAGCGCCATTGCTCCTCAACGTTGTCTAGTAACGCCGTTGTCGAAGGGCTGTAATCTTGACATTCCCATTCGCTCTCGTTCATGTCCTCCACCGCCTTGCGCCAGTACTCGGGCGGGTGGAGATTCCCGCCAAACAGCTTGATCTGATCTTCGACGTCTTCGACGTCTGTCGCGTCGGTATCCGAGCCGTCTTCATCTTCGTTCATGTCAAAGACGTCCTCGTTGGCACTGGAGGTGTCCTCGCTGATATCGTCATCGCTAGGCGAAAAGGAATCGTCCGAGTCGGAGGCGTCCACAGGACGACGCTGGCGAGGTGGCATAGTGATGGAAGAGGTGCACGATTTGACGGGAGGGGGCAGATGCCGAGGCAAAGGGTTGAATGCTCCGCCGCGAGCGATCGTGGGAAAAAGACGGATGGAAAAGGATGCAGACAGGACGCATTGTTGGAGAGCAGCGGACGTGGCTTATGTACCCCCAGCGCGTAAGTCAGGTTGGGAACCGTGGTGGGAGCCATTCTTAACGGCGGCATGGAAGAATCAAAAGGTACTTTGGATAATACCCCGCGGTACATGCCCCACCTGGGACTGGGCCTTGAGCGCTGGGCGGGTCTGCACTCCTGGCTAAAAGCGGCGTCAGGTTTTTGGCTTTTGTCCCGCTGGATGTGGAGGCAGAACCTGCCGAAATGGGCGACGAAAAAGCCGTTTCATTCTTTAAGAGAGATATAGAATCTTTTTTCGAGCTGAATCCTATTAAGGTCGATCTCTTGCGCTCATAACGCCGAAATAAAAACCACTATATTCATAAATAAGCTAAAGGCCGCGACCTTTATGATTAGCCCTTCTAATTACCGCTACTGTATAAAATAAAAAGTATAGCTTACTTATCGCGGTTTGTATAGTACTTGTTATATTAAAACTATTTTAATATAATAAATACGTACTTAGGATATATTATACGTATTTATATAATCGAAAAGTATATTATTCTGCCGATATATCTTTATAAGCTATAATGATTAAGGCGTTAAATAGGCCGATTTAATTAAGCCCGAGAAGGGTAGACGTATCTAGAGCGATAGATGTTATTAAAATCTTAGCTTATTAAATAACGACTATATATTACCTAGCGGATATTATTATTCAATATGTTTATTTAATAGTTATATTTATAAATAATAAAATAGTATCTATATTTATATATATAATATAGAATATAATAAGAATGAAAAGAATCCTTATAAGCTCTAAATAATAAAGTATTAGCTATATTAGCCCTTTTTCAAAAGCCTTTATTTTAACGTTAAAGTTTAAAATATTTTTAGCGGCCTTTGACCTTCAAAGCCGACCTTAACGGTCGACCTTTATTATCGACCTTAACGGCCTATACCGCTATATACCCTACCTATCTGTATTATATTATATCTTTTAAATTAAAATTACTATATTAAGTTAGGTGTATATATAGGGTATATTATATATATTATATAGTTAAACTACGTATTATATTATATAATTTCCCTTAAAAGTTAATCCCGTTAAGGTTGATCTTCTATGCCTATAAAGCTGGAAAAAACCACTATGTTTCATTATACTTATAATTAAATCCTAGATCTTTTCCCGAACTAAAAGTAACCGTTACCTCTTTTTTAAATTACGATTAATTATAATATTTATTTACCCTAACCGGTCTTAGTACTAGGTTTTTTAATTTCTTTAATATTTATAGGGCTAAGTTTAATAGAGGTCTAGTTATTACCGATATATTATTTAATAATAGTCTAAATATGGTTAAAGCGTTATTTAATAGGGTAACCTCTTTTAACGTCGTTATAAGGACTTTAGAATTATAAAGCCGCTTATAAATATTTATAATAATTAATAGGTTTTTAATTTTAAGTAGGGTATTATAAAAGTCCTATATTTTATTAATTTATAATCTAAATAGCCTATAATAAAAGACGTACTAATGGCTATATTAGCTATTAATATAAATAGATATAGTATTTTATAAGCTTTTTTTTACTTTTATAAATTTAAAAAGGGTATAAAAATACGATAACTTAAACTAATAATTAAACCGTTTATAATAAAGGCCGAAATTAAATAGAAGGTCTTTTTTATCCTTTTTAAATATCATTATTAGGGTAATTTTATATTAATAAGTTATAAACTCAAGAGCTCTATACTTAACCTATTTTATAATTGAATTAAATTATCCTTATTAAAGGTATTTATAACAATTTTATATTCTTATAGTAATATAATAGTCAATATAGGTTATTTTCTTATTAAATAATATTTTATTACTAGCCTAAGCGAGGTTGGTAAGATCCGTATTATTAAATATTATATAGGACTTTAAATATTTATATATAGTCTTTATAAAATTATCAGTATAAATGCCACAGTTTTTATACTTATTAATAGAATATTAGGCCTATTAATAACGGTAGGGTATATAAGTATTATATAAGTATTTAAAATAATTTAATTAATTAATAAATTTAGATTTTAGATACCTTTATATTACGTTAAAGTCTTTTTTAATATTTATATATATTATAAATATTTATAATTAATCAAATTTAATAAGAGTATATTTAATTTCGGTCTTTATTAATTATTCATTAATTCATATTCAGTTAGCCTAGCCAAGCTTATAAAGGGTATAGGTTTATAAATTATAAATAGTTAAAAGAGGAGGAGGTATTCAAGGTAATTATAGAGCTTTGTTATTAGTTTTATTAAGGTATTAATTAATTTCAATCTCTATATCGTTAAAGACATTAAAGCCCTTTTATTTCCACTTAATCTTAAGGTCTATATTAGTATTAATATAGAAAATATATAATTATAATTAGGTCGATAATAAGACCTTTATAATAATATTATATAGGGCTATTTCGAAATTTATAATAATAACCTTAAGAGCTTTAGTACCGACCTTTATATAGATTTTATTAGAGGATTTAATTAAAAAGTCGTATTTTTTTTAATATTTTAGAAAAGAATAAACTAAAAATAGCTTAAAATAAAGAGCCGAGATCTATAAAATTAATAATTTTAAAAAAGAGTATTTTATATTAGTTAACTTATATATATTAAAATCTATTATGTAAGAGAACTACTTTTACATTCTTTTATAAAAGGGATAGATTTAAAAAATAGCTTTAAATATACTAAGATCGGTTTTTAATTATAGAATTTAATGTTTTAAGTTATATTATTAAAGTTTATAAATAAAGGCCTAGGTCGTAATATAATTATTTCAAATATTAAAGTATAAATACTAATAAGTATTATAAATATCTTTTTAATTAAAGAAAGTACTAAGATAGATGTTGTAAATAATAATATCTATTTTATAAAGTTTAATAATATTATATTTGAAAAAAGATTAGCGACGAGGTTAGTCTATTTAATAGTTATATAGTAGTAGGTAATATATATAAATAAATAAAAAGACGGGCCGTAATTATACTTTTTATACTTAAATATCTAAATTTATTTATATCTTTTTACCTTTATTATAAAGGCTATATTTTTCTAAAAGTAGCCTGTTTTTAATATAATTAAATAATATAGTCTTACTCTTTTTATTTATTATATAACGTTACGGTCGTATTATAATTAATAAAAGGTATTTTAATTATTATCAAGATTAGTATTACTTTCATAGATAATTATAAAGTTATAAATATATAGAAGAACGTTAAGATGGTCTTAAAATTCTTATATATTATTAATAAGTATTTTATTAATCCTATCCTTTAATAGGTTAAAAATAGCTTTAAAACTAGGTAAATTAGGTTAGTTAGATGGTAAGTTTATTATAATAATAATATAAATATAATTAAGTAATAAGTATAGATTAGGAAGAGTTTTATTAATTATAAACGAAGTAAAAAAATCTAATTAATAGTAATTGTAGGCCTTTAGTATTAATAGAAGTGAGCCGAGATTAACCCGGTATAGCCGTCCGATTAGTTATATCGAAAATAAAAGTAGGTATACCTCCCGGATAGCCAGAATATACCTCCTAGATAGTAAAACTCTTAATATAAAGTTATTTCCGCCCGAGCTTTTAACGATTAATAATGATCTTTTATTTTTAAATATGCTATCTATAACTATATATCTTCTTTAAATCCCTTTATTTATAAACTTTATTAAAAGCTTATTATTATATAATAGACCTTTTTTAAAACCGTCTTTAAGTATAAAGCTATTAAATTATATAAAATAGCTATTGTTATTTGAGATATTATCCTTAGGTCCCTTATTAAATAAAACGATATCGATAATATTTATTAGTACCTGTATTTAAAAAAGCTTAACGGCCGCTCTATAATCTAATAATCTATAAATGTCTTAACTAATATAAAATATAAATATTATATCCTATAAGCTTTATCTAGACCTATTTATAATATAAAATCATATAAAAACAGGTTTTTAAATAAATTAAACTTAATAATATATATAAAATTAACCGGTTTAAAATATTATTATTTTAAATAAAATCTAATATTTAAAAGACCTTTTTATTTTTCTTAACCTTTACTTTTTATATCAAAGTATATCTTAATATTTTTTAAATTATTAATATTATCGATATTAATTGAAACAAAAAGGCTATAAAGAATAAGGCTATTTAAAACCTTAATAATCAAACCTATATTAATAAAGCCCTTAGTTACGCTTAATAACTTTAGGAAATTCCTCATATATTTACCGGCTTTTATTAATTATAGGCCTATATTATATATATTGATATCAAAAATACCTTTAATATTATTTAAGACCGCTTATTAATAAAGTTTATTAATTAAGATTTAATTTTAAAATATATTATAAATACTTATCTTTTGTTATAATATTTATAAGCTAACTATTTTATGCCTTAATGTAAGAACTTCGGTATTAAGACTAATAATCCTATTAAAACTACCTCTAAAGATCTAAAGTTATATATTATTAATAGTAACTTTAAGTTATATACCGTCGCCTAGGTAATTAAGGAAATACTATATAATGAAGTCTATATTTATAAAAAGAGGGTAATAATAATAAAATCTTATATTTATTATAAATACCTTCACTATAACTAGCTTAGAACTATCTTTAAAAAGGTTAGTTTAGAAATATTAAACTTAATAAATACTTAGTAATAAAAAGCTCTTCCTTTATTACTAATTAGCTAGATTCTTTACCCTCCCGATTTACCGCCGTATCTTAGTAACTTTATAAATTAATACCGTCTTTTATATAGTTATAAGCTACTCGATCTTATGAAATATAAAGAGCTATTTATAAAGATG